AGTGTCATCGGCGTGCTAGGGAGGTTCCCAATGACGTCCCCGGACGCCCGGACGACATCGGCACTACCAGATTTGGACTCAGCGTGCGTGTAAACCAAGGTGGTGAAAACCCCCGAACCAGATATTTCAGTCGTCCTGGTCGTTCCGAGGTTGACGGTCGGTCGGTCGGCAAAACCGTATCTTATTTTGACAGCCCCCCAGCGTTCCCCACGCAGTACGCAGGTACGCAGGTACGCACGGGTCGAGGGCATAGGGCCACAGTTGCACAGCTACGACCGACACTGCCACTGGCAGCTTTTATCAGAACCGACTGTTCTATTCTCATCCCACCGCAGGACGACTTCTGAGTCCGTAAGGGGATCAGCCGAACCACTGTTGGACAGGACATACCAGGTGTCTAGGCTAAGACATGCGTGTATGTTGGGTTGCCTATGCACTGGCTGCAGGGGCGGCAGGCGCGGGGCGGGTGGTGGGGAAGTGGCAGCTCTCCTGCTCCCCCGTCACCCGCCCGCAGCCCCTGCAGCCAGTGCATAGGCAACCCAACGTACTCCCGGGGTTTGTGAGACGGTTGACGCGTACGATGGTTGAACTGCACTGACCCACCACAGGTCATGGAGCGGCCGTATCCAGCTTATTCCGAGCAGACTTTAGAGGAGCCGTTTTGGACCAAATTATTTTCCAAAGAATGTGGAAAAGAGGGAGGATTAAGTTGACTCTGGCCGCCGGATTTATTGTGGCCACAAACATGGACGTCATGCTGCATGTATCGCCCTAGACACATCCCGGACAGGCGCGGCGTGACCACGATATGTCGATCAGTGTCCTCGTCTGATCGGAACTTCTGCCGTCATTATTGCCCCCCCCCCCCTCTCCAACGTTGTCGGGAAATCGGGGCATACTCATGATTGTGCATTTCTCGTATATTTATAGTTTATTTATGTCCAATTAAACAATCATTATCCTCACAGTACATATGGCATTTTTTTCTCTCACTCATTCACACGCTAGATTGACTTTATTAGCATCATATATGTATTTTGTGTCATTCTAGTTGCATTGTGGTAACAAGTTCTACCAGTTCAATAAGCACTATCCAAGTTATCCAAGCTTCACAAACGAAAATCCTGTAACAAATACTTATGAAAGATGAAAATAAATGAAATTAAAACTATAAACACTAATGTCATTTTACGTCTTTCCTTATTGAGGTCAGATAACTTGGGCAATGCCAACGTCCATACTTTTAACTTTTTTCTACTACACAGCACTTCTTGTTATACGATACAACTACAAGGTGAAAAGACTTCTTTTTTATCACTTTTCACATTAACAGGAAGTCACACAATAACTAAGTTGTTCTTTTTGTTAACCACACATTCAATGACAAACATACAAGTGCACATTAAAGCACACTTTAGAATTCATTTAGTCACCTAATCATTTTCACAATCACATGCATGCACTCACAAGCACTCACGCACGCACACTCACATACATACATACACATTTAACATTTATACAGCATTTAAGCTCTTGTTTTTAAATAAGACTGACTTGTGCCATCCAGCACACATTCTTAATTAAAGAAAAGACATAAGACACCAGGGGTATGACATGATGACAAATAAGACACCATACTCCAAACAAGAGCACAAAAAGAAGACAGTCCAACATTATTTCACATTAATTTCACTATAGATAATAAAAGTACAAAAGTTTACAAAATATCGTAAATTGTGAGTCACTGTTCTTCGAATTAACAGTTGGCTATGAACAATTCATTACAATCACTACAGGTAATAAAATTATCATAATCACACAGCTATTAAACTGATTTTAAAAATTTGAAGTGAAAATAACAAAACTACAGATAACTATACAAATATATTTTTTAAGTGAACATGGTTTCAAGATTTTTTTTAAAAAAAGAAAAAAAATGTTGCAATAGTGCTTCACAAAAGGTGGAGCAAACAGAAAAATTATCAAGAATTAAGGTAATCAAACCAAAATCAGATCAACAGAAAAATATTATATAAAAGTCTAATAATCTTTACGAATTGAGCAGCCAATAACTTCAACAATTCAATAACACACATAGAAAATATCAGATCTCTCTTTACAAGCGTCCTAAGAACGAATATCATGGTAATACTGACACTATAATGGAGAAAGAATCTCAAGTTATTTAAAAGAGGAAAAGTAAAGCATAATTATTTATTGACCAGATGTGAGCGTAAACTCCTGGCTACCTACAATACAAGCAATAAGAAAGCTCTGTTTTTTTAGAATTGAGGTACATACCTACTAAAGTGGTTCTTCACTACATAGGGGGTGTTTAAATTAAAACATTTAAAGAATTGATTGAATTGAAACAGGGATAGATTTTGTTAAATAAAAAAAAGCCCAACTTAAAAATGATGGCATATCACAATGAGCAGGATGACACAGTGTGTATAATGTACAGTAGTTCATAGATTTTTGAAAAAAAAAAAATTGTCAGGAACAAAAACTAAATAATCACTTACTAACAAAGATTTCACATGAAGAGCAAATTGCAATATCGAGTGGTTGTAAAAAGTTATGGCACCTGGTGCCTAGACCACTTCTTTGAGCATTTTTCTTTGACCAGATACAGAAAAATTGTTTTGAAGTATACTACACATGAACAACTTTATACACATCCATCAAGCTGACTTACTGACCCTCGCTCTCACTGTCACTCTTATCTGGGGAAAGAGAGAAATCAAAGTTATGATTTGTGGAAAAATAGATTTGTCAAATACAAGAGATTAGTTAAGGATCTCACCTTTTTTACCAGGGTACGCGTGGCGTTTCAGTCTGTCGTAAAGATCTTCCTTATTGCCATAAAGACTGGCATTAGAACGAGCTAAACTATTCATTTTTCCATTGTGTAAGCTCTCTGATGATAAGAAAAGAGGAAAATAATTTTTATTAAAAGAACACTATAAAATATCTATCACAAGAAATAAGAGGATAGCTACCTTTCATGTAAGTCTCATTATAAAAGTTGGGCATTTCCCAACCATCCTCTTCATCATCATAGTAGTGGGCGTATGTCGAATGGTGTGATGGAGCGATGGACTCTGCATAAGGAGTGGGTGCTCCGTAATAGAAATTAACTTGTGAACCATTCTGTTCACTTGCTTGGGTAAGAATCTTAGCCGCCTTTGGTTCTTTTCTTCTTGCAGACCTAAGCAGAATTTCAACATGTGAGTCAGATATGGTATAATACAGTATGAACAAAATTTAGATTTTCATACTGAAAGAAACAAGGTCTCTTACCTGACACAGATCATCCAAACTAGGAGAACAATAAATATCACAAACATAACTCCACCAGCAATGCCTCCCATTATGTATGCAAATTCGCTCTTTTCAGCACAATGAGGTCCAGTGAATGAACCAGAGCATCTGCATGATGGGTTTCCTCGAATGTCTTTAACACAGACACCTTCATTGTCGCAGAAACCAGCACAAACATCAGTACAAACTCTGCCAGTCCCATTGTATCCCGGTTTGCACTCGCATTTGAAGTCACTCGTTTCAGGTAGAAGCAAGCAGTATGCATTGGGGTCACAATGCATTTCCACGGTATTCATTTCACATGGGTTGGAGCAATCATCTTTGCTGATCTGTAAAATAAAGATAAAACTACAATCAGTACATTTATCAAGGTAAGCATGTGCAACATTATAAAGTGTAATATTAAACAAACTTACAGATGCAGTAGTTTTTGTACTTGTGTTTGGAGGACAGGCAATGCAGCTAGTCTGTTGAGCCTCTGGTTGATATGTGCCCTTTTTGCAAGCAACACAGCTGTTTTGAGTGCCATTTAAGAAGGTTCCTATAAAAATAAAGAAAAAAATATTTACTGCAATGAAAATGTTTGAGGGAAAGAAAATAAATCCACATTATAATGACTAATACCTGGGGGGCAGACTGGTAAAGAGCACTCTTCAACAGCAGCAGCACCCAACTTAGGTGTGGTACGTCCTTGAGGGCACGCCTGGCAAGCAGCTTGAACACCTTGAGTCCGATAGGTTCCTCTTGGGCAAGGCTCACATTTGCCTTCAACAGCCAACTGCATTCCTGAAGAACACTCATCTCGGCATTCCTGTGGAGTAAAGTTACAGTTAATTATAAAACAAATTTGAAAAAAAAAACCCAAAGATTTGGGATTTCTTGTTTTCATATTTAACCTGTATGGCATTTCTAAATTTGCTACATGTCAGCTTACCTCTTCTGAAACAGCTTCTGTAGTACGAGTGGTCTTTCCCAACCCACACAACAGACACTTGAAACTACCTTCCTCTGGTTGGTAGAACCCATGGCCACAACTACGGCATAGTCCAGCATCATCATCATAGTACTTTCCAGCAGGACAACGTTCTGAAAAAGTTCACGCAAACATTAATAATGTATTTAGTCAGGTAAGAAATGATTTCTGAAAACTTTACACACAGCAGAAATTGTTCTGGTACCTCCTGAATGTTTTCAATATTTTGTTTTACAAAAGTATACATGGTGCTACATACCTTTGCAGTCAGCTGCACTTCGGGCCCCTGGAGCCACAGTAACTCCTGGTCTTCCAGCAATAGCGGGGCAGACAGTACACTGCATCTGTCCTGATTCACTCTGGTAGGCACCCAGAGGGCAAGCCACACAAGTACGTGTCTCACGGTTGTAGAATGTTCCAACAGAACATGGCACTAAAACGGTAAGAATAGAAAATGTATGCAGATAGAAATACCTCTAGTATTTAATTGACTATGATTGTCTAGCAAAGAAGGGTCTACATACCACAATCAGGGGCCATGACAACTTGACCCAGAGGACAGGCATAATCAGATGTCAAAGTAAGGGAAGCAGGATCTGGTACAGTGTTTGGCAAGATGTCGTGAACATCAAACTGATCCTCCTCCAAGATGAGGTGTTCCAGTAATCTCTGAACATTAGATCTTTCATTCGAGTTGCTGTTGACCACAGGGTCACTGAAAGAGACAAACAGTTTGAATTGTAGTATTTAGATAAACTGGTAAACTTGTAAAATTACTGATTACTTTAAAATACACACTTTATAGCTGGGAAGGAAATTTGAACACTATAAGTGTCACTTGCTTCTCGTGCAACACGGTCAGACCTCATAGCTTTCTCTTCTCCTTCTGCTGAAGCATGAGCAGATCGACTCTGACGAGAGTTACATTTCACGTCAATGTTTAGATCTTTGCATTCCTTTGTCCCTAATAAAAAATAAAGACGACAATGGTTAAAAACTGTATGGCAACTTTGAATAATCAAGTTTGGAAGAAAATATAATGACAAAATAAGTACCTTCCAGAGCATATGAACAGAAGTTCCAGTCACGATTAAGAGAGTTGATGGCATTCCTGACTTTCTGTCTCAGAACACCTTGTCCAGCTTCATTGCAGAGAACCGAGCTTGGGAATAGCATACTTACTTTGAAGACTCTTTGAGCTGGCTTTGATGCTGAAATTCAATTCATTTGTTAAGAGAAATGAAAATTTAAAGTGTATTATCTAGTTTTTAAAAGCAAACTGCCTTACTAGAGCAAGCAGGGTAGATTGTTGGCATAGCTGGGTTATCAGTGGGTCGCCAGAAGCCTTCAGCTCCACAGGTGTAGAATCGTGGGACAGGCTGTGAAAAACGGAGTCCCGAATTGCAACTAATTTCACATACTTTGAATTGGCCACCAGCACCCCAATCCTTGCATGTCTGTTTGCCTCCTACAGGATCTGCCAACTCGGGACAGAACTCAGCTAGAAATGGAAAAGGAAACCAAATAATCAATATAAAAACAGTTTGTTTTCTTCTGATGTACAAATGGTAAGTAATTTTCAAAGGAATTGAACTTACAAAGAACATAAACCTTGAAGCTGCACGTTGCTGCATTTCCAGCCTGATCATAAGCAACATAAGCAATGTGATAGGTACCCCACAGCAAACTTTGCCCTGGTCGGTGGCCACTGCGTTCCACAACATTGCTGACTCCAATGTTGTCACTGAACTCAGGCTCGTCCCATGACACAACTGCCGATCCATTACGTGCAACAACCCATAAGTCACCAGGACAATGCTCTACTCTTGGGGGAATCTGTTGAAATAAGCAAGTATTGTAAAAAAATGTAATATAAAGAGAAAAGTCAAGTTAAAAAATTTCGTTCCATATTTAAAACTAAAAGTTTTTAATAAAAAAAAGGAAATTTTTCCCTCAAGTTTCCTACCTTGTCAACAATGAGCTCCTGACAACGTGGCCCACTGTAGCCCAAAGGACAAACTCTCTGGCCACAATGAGATGGAACAAGCCGCTCTACGCCACCAATTGTGTCCTCATATCCAGCCCATGTCAGCACAAGTCCTCGGTACAGGACAGGCTCTGTTCTACAGTCTCGGACCTAAGCAAAGAAAAGTGGTTTGATTTAAAATTTTAAAATATGGTGCTATTACATTATGATCTTTAGTTCTCACACTGACCTGTTTCTGGATTTCATTGGTTACATCCAAACCTCGGCCCCAGACTTGCACTTTAGTGAGATGGCCTTGGAAACCATTTTCTGTGTATGCCTTTGGATTCTCACTGCGAGGTTTGCCTAGCACCACCCAAGCACTAGGAAAGAAAATTTACACAAATAATTACACAAATGCAATTTAGGCCATCAACAAACTGATGACTATAAAGCCTCAAGAAGAGTACATTTGAAATACATAATCTCCATAATACGTACTTCTCAGGGAGAGTGCGTCCGCTTCCATAGCCTTCAACCTTGCTGGCAATGAGTCCTTCAGTGATGAGAGTGAGTAAGCCTCCAGCCTCACCATCCCATACCACAGCAATGTGATGCCACTGGCCGTCATTGATGGTGGCGTATTCTCTGAACCCAAGGTAAACATCTTGCAAGTCATCAAACAACGAGATTTGAACACCATTGCTGTGAGCTTGAACCATTGGTCTTCTGCCTACAGGGACATGGGGAGACCTGTAGAAAAAGAGATAATGTTCCACATGAGTTCAAGAAAATTAAATATTTCTGAATGTTTCATCTAGCTGGATACAAGTAGAATTTAAATATACCATCCGGATACTTACGCAACATTGTACATAGTGAAGAATACTCCTCCTTCATCCTTGTTTGTGAACTGGACCCACATTGCAATGGTGAGGGAAGACTTCCCACCGGTGAAGAAAGGCACAACAAGTGCTGCGCTGCTGCGTGTTGGGTCAGTGAAGCTCAGATCATAATCTACTTGGATTGCTAAAAGAGAGATAAGACATTAGACAAAAGAGCTCTTTCTATAAAATACATGTACATGTCAAGTTGCCAACAAAGACACTTACTCTTTCTGCAATCATCACCAGTCAGGTTGAATGGACACTGACAGTAAAATTTGCCAGAAAGGTCAATGCAAGTGGCTGAGGGAGGGCATGAATTCTCTTGACAGTCCACAATGTCTTCATCACAATTCTTGCCTGGATAACAGTTTAAAAATGAAAAAAATGAAATGGAGTGGAAGCAGACAGTAGTATAGATTACTTTATCATGTAAAGCAACTTACCAGTGTAACCAGGGGGACATACGCAAGTGTAGTCCGGGCCGTTATCAATGCAAGTAGCACCATTCTGGCATGCATTTGCTTCACAGGCATCGTACTCATACTGGCATCCAATACCAACATAATCTGATGGGCAGGTGCAGTTCAGACCAGAACCAAAGTCTTGGCAACGTCCTCCATGCATGCATGGGTTACCAATGCACCTTTCTGGAGCAGTCTCGCATTGTTTCCCATCAGTGCCAGAGGGACATCTGCAATGAGAAATGAAATCAGCAATCATACACACATGAATTTGGTTTAACAGACAGATACTCTCCAAATGGAAAAGGATTATGATTATATTTTACTCATAGTCAATGGCTGTACTTACACACAGAAGAAGTCTTGGAAAAGGTTGATACATTTAGCACTGTTCTGGCACGGCTGGTTTGTGCATGTACCAATATCGCTCTCACAGCGCGCTCCAGTCCAACCAGGAGGGCACTCGCACCTGAAATGACCAATCTCATCGCGGCAAGAACCACCGTTCAGACAGGGCATGGCAGCGCAGTCATCAACATTTGTTTCGCACAATTCACCAGTGAAACCTTCCCGGCACTGGCAGGTGAATCGGTTGTCTTCATCGATACATGCCTTTGTTCCCTCAGGATTGCATGGGTCACTCAAACATTCATCAATTTCAGCCTCACATTGAAGACCTAAAAGAAAAGGCATATGTAGGCACTGCACTTCATGACAAGTTTGAATAGACTAGTAAGAGTACTTGAGAAAAATACTTACCAACAAAACCAGGCCTGCAACGACAGACAAATCCATCAAGCATATCAAGGCAGGTCGCACCGTTCTGGCAAGGCTCAGAAGCACAATCATCAATCAAATGCTGACAGCGCTTCCCTGTGTAACCTGGCTCACAGTTGCACATGTAACCATCAACTAAGTCCACACAAACTCCACCATTTTCACAAGGATCTACAGCACAGTCATTAATGTTGATTTCACAGGCTCGTCCTAGAAAGAAAAGGAAAATTTTAATAAACAGTCATGAAAAGTTAACAACACAATACACATAATTTATGCATTCTAACATTAAATAAACCAAATTTAAATTTATCAACTTACCAGTCCATCCAGGTTTGCAAACACATTGGTGAATAAAAAGTTTGTCCACACAAACACCATTTTCACAAGGGTCATTCGCACACAGATCAATCTTCTCATGGCATCGCTTGCCAGTAAATCCAGGAGGACAGGTACACTTGAAATCATTTACAAGGTCTGTGCAGTTTGCACCCAGCAAGCAAGGCCTCTCAGCACAATCATCTGTTTATCATTAAAAATTTGGTTAGATTTCTTATTTTCTTTGATCAGTTCACAGGATAAATCAGGTTTAGATGAGCAGCTTACCAATATTTATTTCACAGTTCTGACCCTCCCAACCAGGGAGACATTCACATTTGAAGCGCCCCTGCTGGAGTGCTATACATGTTCCACCATTGGAGCAAGCATTGATGTCAGCAGAACAAGGGTTGATCTAAATTGACACACAACACCAGTTAGAGACTTGATTTGGCATTTGAAAACAAATAAGAAAAGTCCAAGAAATAAAATTGTCACTTATACTTACAGTCACGTCACAGTTGGGACCAGTATAACCAGATCTGCACAGGCAGGTGAAGTTGTTGAGGCCTGGCTCATCCTTGCACATAGCCCTCTCTGGACAGGTGTCGTTGCGACAATCAGATTTCTCTTCTTGACAGTTGATGCCAGTGTACCCTATTGCGGAGTTTAACACAAAATTGATGAGACTGTCCTCAAACAAATTTAAACTTAAAACTTCACATGTGAGGAAACTTTATTACCGGGAGGACACTGGCAGCGGTACCCTTGAGGAAGATCAATGCAACGTCCGTTGTTGTGGCACGGCTGAGAAGCGCACTCGTCAATGTCGATTTCACACCGGCGTCCAGAGAAGCCCGCCGGACAGTAGCACTGGACTCCGTGGCCCATCGGTATGCACAGGCCACCGTGCTGACAGGCGTTCTCGTTGCACTGGATGGGCTCGCACTCGTCCCTGCCAACAGCTCCCGGACCAGCCGTCTTCATGTTGGTGGGGCACTCGAGGCAAGTCAGCTGTCCAGACAGAGGCTGATAGAAGTCTCTTGGGCACGGTGCACAGGGGGCCAAACCAGTGTCCGAGTACTGCCCTGGGGAGCATTTGGCTGAAAGGAAAACGTAAAATCAGTAAAAAAATAAAATAATCAGAGATGAAAGCAACACAAAAAAAAATTATGAAAGCTCAAGTGGTTAGAGAGAAGTGACAGAAAACTCACGTCTGCAGAATGCTTTTCCTGGTGCAGCAGGTTGGTAAGTAAATGTGTTGGCAGGGCAAGCTTGGCAGTCTTTAAAACCACCTGTGGGTGGTTCTGAGGTATAGCTGTTACGAGGACATTCCAAGCACGGAACAAGACCCGTAGGAGAGTAAGTTCCGTATCCACAGACAGGAACACACTCATTGATATCCTTTGAACCTGCAACAAACCATAATGTGATTAATACTGGCATAAATAAAGATGGCTGTTTGACACAACATAAGTCAACTGAGGCCAACCTTCTTCTCGTGTATATGTTCCAAGAGGACACCTTGTACATTGTCCCTGACGATCCTGGTTTTGGAAGAATCCTCGTGGGCAAGGTGTGCAAGTCTTTTGATTCACACCAGCAAAGGTACCAGCAGGACAGTGCACTAAAAAAGAATTTTAGAATATTCATTGACTGACCTAGAGCTCTGATTCATTATTTAGACAATGTGACACATTTCTATTGACACTTACAACAGCGTGGGACATCATTGGTATCCATGTTGAGGACCTCTCCAACATTACAAGTGAATCCACGGTTGATGGTAGATTTAAGAGCACGAAGTGGAGGACATTGATTGCCTATTGCTGAGACATTCAACAGAGGTTCCAAAACAGCACTGGCATATGGGACTGACAGGTCAAAAATCAGATTGAGAGTAGAACCACAGAGGTCATAAAGTTGTGGCTGTTTGACAGCAGGTACAATCACCAGAATAAAGTCCATCTATATTTGTTGAGAAAACAGAAATATCAAAATTAATGCCATATAAGGGGAAATCAAATTTAAATTACAATATAAGAAGTACATGTGGACATTGATTAAAAATAATAATCACCTGAACAAAGTTTTCTTCTATCAAGGATGGTTTTGCTTCAATGAATGAAACATTCATGTTCACATTGACAGCTGAGCATCTTTGAGTGAGAATGTCATTAAGAGATTTGTAATACTGTGACATGAGGTCTGAATACTGGGGCAGGCATGATTGTGAAACAGCTCCATTAGCCCTGTACGTGACAGTGGCCACAACATGATAATCAGCTTGTTGAGTGTCTGCAAAGAAGTAATTTTAAATTAATTTTCAAAATTCTTTTGGTTCTATAAAATATCAACAACAAAAGTTGAGTAAAGCTCTACTAACCCTCAGATACACAGTCAGGTACCATGTTGTTTGGTACCCATGGGGTCTTCTCCTCGCAGCTGAATGTCTTGACAGGCTCTCCATCAGTAAACCTACGAAACAATTCAATAAACATTAATATTTTCAATTTTTAAAAAATGCAAAAAAATAAAAAATTACATAATAGTAAAAGGAGAAGACACAAATAAAGGCTCACCTAAAGCCAGGTTTGCAGGTTGCAATACACTGCAAGCCTCTTTCTCCGGGTAAACAGTTGAGCGCCCCATTAGTAGGTGGTTTAAGTTCCCAGTCCACACACGGAGTGGCCTGTACAGACACCTGGAAGTGGCACGAGGCCTGGTTTCCACTCTTGTCGGAGGCCACAACAGTCACATTCTCGAAGCCGCCGATGGGAATCACGGCGCGGTCCGGCACGAAAACTACTTTGACGTCGCCTGATTCATCGGACACGTTGACGCGTCGGCGGGTCTCGTTGAAGTTGACCACATAGCTGTCCTGGCGGTCCACGAGCTCAATGACGTAGCTCTGAGGGCAGCTCAGACGAGGTGGGGTGTCATCTGCAAAGAAGGGAAAACATGAGGCAAGGGTTGATGGTAAACTACACCCAATAAGAATACTAATGTCAAACTGATTTTGTAATATACCTGGCACAGTAATGTTGATCTCACAGATAGCAACATTTCCATCATAATCAAAGGCAATGTATTTAATAGACATATCCTCAAAGACTGTGATTGGAGTCTTGAAGCTTGGTGGCTTGACCTCCAGACGAGCAATGCTTCCACTGTTGTCAACTGCCACAGGTTCAGTAAAGTTAACTGGAAGCAAACCTCCATTTGCTCCCTTTTGAACAACAATTGGCTGTTGAGGGCAGTTCTGGAAGACTGGTGGTTCATTGTCTAGAGACAGAAAAAAAAGAGAAGGGGAAGAAAATAAATATTACAGATAGTTCAGGTTTAATCAGCACAGGACCAGAAAAGGTAAAAATATTGATAATACTGACCAACACAAGGAGAGTACCCGTAATCGTAACCCAACAGAGGCTCAGATTTTGGTTCTTCACAACCCATCAGTTCAAACTTCAGACAAGCATTATCCATGTAGCTCACAATTCCCAAAATTACAAAACGAGCTTGAACATATTTAGGTAAAGTAATCATTGCCAATTCACCATAATTTCCAGGGTCTCTCATGGTCAAGTTGAAATTAGGGAAGTACACTACATAGTTCTCATTGTCAGCTTGTTTGTAGAAGAAACGAATTTCTGTAGGTCGACCAACAATATCATTGGTGACTACTCCCTTGACAAGAATGGCCTAGGAACAAATAAATATAGATCTATTATCATCTGTCTTTTGCAACTTGGTATAAATTGACAAATTGTCAAGGGCAACATACCTTTACACGGAAAACTTGACCAAGGTCCACACTGACATAAGTGAATGCTTCTTGCTTCCCACACCATCCAGTAACAGAGTTGAGGCGAATGTTGCGCGCTTCATAGTTGGGCCTTTCAGAGGTGGCATTGATGGCAGAGTCAGGGATGCGTCCGGAGGCAAGGCCAAGAGGCTTGACAACCTTGCATTCGGGCTCTCGGACACAGCTGATGGGACGCTGATTGATGAGGATGTATCCTGGCTTGTTGCAGCCAAACTCGACCTCAGAGCCCTGTTCGTAGCTGCGAGAGAGCTGGAAGCCGTCGGTAGGCCTACCTGGATCTTCACACACAGGACCTTCACATCTCAGGTCACCGAAGTCCCAAACACCATTAGCTTGGCACCTAAAGCAAGAAGCAACAAAATTTTGTATTCACTCATTCACACAAATTCTAATAACTATGAATGAATTTTAAACAAAAGAAAAAGGGTTTTACCTGACAACATTGTCATTTTTGCTTGTTTGTCCAGCAAGCTTGAAAGTATCTTGACATCCAAAGAAGAATGATGATTGGTATTTGGTGTCTGTGTATTTTCCATACTCAGCTCCAGGTGTGGGCAAAGGTATACCACAGTCAACTCTTGGGCAGGATGGTGGCACACCAGACAGCCAATACTCAGGGAAGCCCTATGAAAAAACCAAATGACATGTTACTAGAAACAAGCACCAGAAACACCACACGAGTTCAATGTAGAGTAAAGTATGCACTTACAGGTTTGGGGTCGTAAACACATTGACGGAATCCAGAGGATGCAGTGCGTCGCAGAGTTCGTCCTACACTACCACAGTTAAGAGTCACATTTTCTTTGAAAGGCACAAGAACACTGCCCTGGTCTGTTCGCAGCACAGACAAACCCTCATTTTTGTCATCAGGCAGTGAAACACACTTGGCATCTACAGAGAGAAAGAAAAGTAAGTAAAGAACTTTTTAACAAGCTCAGAGCTCTGAAGTCAAAAAACTCATTATGCAAGGTAAGAATCTTACATTGACACTGCGGAACAGAGCCATTCCAAACTCCCCCAGAAGTACACAGCAAAGAAGCTGGGCCACTCATCACATAGCCAAAGTTACATTGGAAGCTTACAAGATCTCCAAAGTGGAACATTTCCTGAAATATAAAATATAATGATAAGTTTTACACTTGGGAATAATGTACATGGAAGACTATTATTAGATTAGCAAAGTTACTATGGTACTCACCTTGGTCGAAAGGATCACACCATTCTCTGGTGCTTCAAGGGATGGGCACATAATGGGCACACAAGTTTTGTTGCGTTGGTAGGTGTCTCCATCACGTTCCCCAGATTCAGCAGAGTGGACAGAAAATCCAGCAGTTCCATTCCGGGTGAAGAGCTCATAGCCCACATTACAGACACATGAGAAATTGCCAGGGCTATAGAATTAAGATTCATGAGTTAGGAAAACTGTTTGAATTAATTACAAGTTGAAGCGGTAAATTTACAAAAAATTACCTGTTGATACATTTTTGGTCACATCCACCATTTTCAACAGCACATTCATTAATATCAGCACACTCAAGACGAGTACAACCCATGACTTCTAGGCGGAGACAAGGGGCATTAACATAATCCTGAATACGGAATCGAAGGTACTGAGCTTCAATAGGCACAGGCAAATTGAGGACAGATAGAGTGGGCTCAAGAATGCGGAACTCCACAGGAGTGCCATCAGGGTTTGTGTAGTCCTTGAAAACATCAGTGAGATTATCGGAGAACTGCAAGCATAAAAAGAGTTACACAATGTGATTGAAAATTTGAAAATAGTAGATGACACAAAATATTATTCAAAAATATTTCTTACCTGAATGCGTACGGCTGAAGTAAAGGCAACATTGCCATCAAGGCGAGTGACACTCTGGGTTCTAAAACCACGAACAACTGTTGGTGCTTTCAAATCAAGAAGAACCCAGTTTGCTCCAGATTCTGCATTGACTCCACACCAGCCACCAAGACTGTTCAAACGAACCATCTACAACAAAATATTTGATTTAAACATTTTAGATAGATAAATTATTTTGAGAATAGATTGTAGTCATTAATGCCATACCTCCTTGGGATAACCAGGTTCAGTGCCAGAAACAGAGATAGAATCATCAGGAATGCCTCCAGTAGTAAGTCCAAGATCTCCAACAGGTCGGCATTCCAAATGTCCTACAAAACCCTTTCGACACTTGCAGTGGAAGCCACCAGGTGTATTAGCACACTCAGTAGAAGCTAGATCACACTGACTGCTACTACATTCATTTATGTCTGCAGAATAAAAAAGATACGAATTAAATAAGAAGCATGCTTTTACAAGAAAAACAATGATAGTTTTAATTTTGTGAATGTACCATCACATCTTGGTGGGTTGAGGAACTCTTGGTTTGGACCACAGCGAATAATATTGTTGCCAGATAGTTTGTAGCCCTTGAAACATTGAACCCTAGCTTCATCACCAAACAGGTACTCATTGGTGGTATCAACAATGAAGCCATTTTTGATGGTAGGGAAGGTTGGGCAACGAGCACCTACAAAGAAAACCCGAAATTTAAAAGTTATTCATAAAAAAGGCCTAAGAAAGTCCACAAAAAATTAACACCTACGTCGGCAAACAGGAGGAGCACTGGACCAGGTGCCATTGCTCATGCACAATATCACAGGAGCACCAGTACGGATGAAACCAGGTTCACATTCAAACCTGACAATAGTACCGTAACTGCGACCTCCACCATTCAAAATAGTAGCATTAGCATGTGGTGTGTCAGGAAGGGGTGGACACTGAGAAGCTGGAAATTAAATAACTAAATTAATACAGTTCATTACAGGGTAAATGAAACTAAAAGTGAGTATGTGTAAATTATATATGTCATACCAAGACAAGTTGGAAGACGCTCCCAGCGCCCATCAGCAAGACAAGAAACTCTCTCAAGGGGCAATCCAGATGGGAATGCAAAACCTGCATAGCATTGGTACATGGCTTGGCCTCTGAAAGTGACATTGGTAGAGCCAATGGAAAAGCCATTGTCAATTTGAGGGACAGGACCACAGTACACCTCTGGAAGTGAAAAATAAAAATTAGACAAAAAAGCCAAAGAAAAACTTGATCAGGTTCTTAAATTTAAAAATATCATAGAAATATTAACCTTGACATTGAGGAATGTAGGTTGTAGACCAGTTTCCTCCCTTAAGGCACTCAGTGGTAAACTGCTGCTTTCCAGTGGCAAACTCCTGGCCCATTGGGCATGAGAAAGTTACAATTGTGCCGAAGGCAGTGTCCCTACTAGACGCCAAGGCCCCTTCACCAGGTTGCAAAACAGAACAATCTGAGGAAAAAAATATCTTGTCAATATACGCAAAAATGTGTAAAAAGGCATTTGATATCTTCTAAGCAGAAAATTACCAGCAGAGAAAGTAGCTTTCCAGCCCTTGCTGTTGTGAAGAGCATCAGTCTGGAAGCGAACAAGCATCTCTCCACTGGATGCTGTCAAAGTAATTCTTGGAACTGAATCAGCTGAGAAACCATTGCCAGGGTGAAGGCGCAAGCCACTAGTGCTGGCACCATCGTAAACTTGGACCATGTCTGACTGATGCACTTGGAAGTGGTCAAACGCTAAAGACAGGGGACCTCCTCCAGGATTCCTGATGCGGTACAAGCACTCCTGATTGCTTGGATAGTCTTTCAGACCAAATGCTGGGGATGCAAGAGTGCCATTTTTGGCCACAATGGTAGCCTGACAACCTTGGGAATACTTTATTTTAAAGCCCTTGCGAGAATCACCCAGTCCTGTCTTGAAGTAAAGATACATTTTATCTCCGGTGGACATAATCAATTTGGGATTGTCTTCAGCAAGGCCAGTCAAACGAGCGATGGGTTGGCTCTTGGGAGAATCTCCATCACGAATTAGAATGAAATCCCGAGTTGATTCAATATCCAAAGACTCAATCTGTATAGTAAGAATGCAAAACAAAATATAACAGCTGAGCATGGCTTTAATTCAATTGTTTGCTCAATCGTTTGCTGCAGAAAAAAATCTTACCTCCAATGTCATAATTCGGCCAATTTGTGCAGTAAGAATGTAAAGGCACTCGAGACCACCAGGATAGTTATTAGGGAAACCAGGAGAAGTCAAAGTCTGCCCTTGAGGGGTAGCTCTGAGAATTCCTCCACAGGTCTGTGGCTCAGTTTTCCAGGAAGCCCTACAGAAAAATGTGACAGTGATTAATATCCAGTCAGGTTCTGAGGTTTTCAAAAACATTACATAGACATGTAAATGACCTATACACACCTGAAACCCTTTCTTTCAACAGATGCATCAGAACTAAACTTGATTATCATGAAATTTGAAGCCGAAACATATAGCTGGCTGCTCAGATCAAGCTTGCCTGACAGAGTTGCCAAATTCACGGACTTGTCTTCAGTTCTTCCTCCTACCAAGACCTGGACTGTGTCAAATGTCTTTTCTGTTTCAAAGTCTTGGAACTGTAACAGTAGGATTAAAATTGCAATTAGCACAAGGTGGGAAAAGAATTGAGGACTCTTTTTGTCTACAACCAGCAAATAAATAAAACACACCTGCAAAAGGATATTATGTCCTTGAGGACCTTCCAATGTCCATTTACAGTTTGCCAATGGAGGATACTTGTGAGGGTAACTAGGACTCTCAACAACATCACCACTACTAGCCATGTAATAGTGACATTCGTTTGGACAGTCCAATTCATCTGACCAATCTCCACAGTCATCTTGTTGATCACACCGGAAGGCAGAATTGACGCAACGGCCATTTGAACAATGGAAGGAACCTGCCATAAGGAAAATACATTGGATTAAAAGCCTTCTTTAACACTCATGCCAAAACATACATATTGAAGGGTTCTATTTTTCTTACCGGTAGGGCAGGCTTGAGCTCGACACAAGAATGGTAATAATGATTCACAGGTTGTGAGAGACCATGACTGGTGCTCGTCTTCAATTGTAGCATCCACGCACTCACCCATAGAAGGGTCAGGCTGGGGTAAAGCCCAAAAACCTACAGACAAGCAAACAACAGACATTTTGAAATTGGCTTCCTATTTCACGCGTGTATCCACACACTGAAATAAGAATTACAACATCACCACTGACCTGCATATTGGGAGACGAGAAGACCAGCCGCCGACTCAAGAGTGTTTGTCCGCAGGTCGTCAAGGGAAGCGAGACCCAGCCAGTACTGCTGAGCTTCTCTTCCCAGTGCGGGTCCCAAGTTGCGGGTTGCGAGCCCCGCTGTCAGGTTGTTCTCCGCATACGACTCGACGAGGACCAGGTTGCTGCCGTACCTGAGGAGAGAGAGAGAGTGTGACAGGAGTGAACATTTGTTTCTTTAAAGACCTTCAAAAGTTACAATTAACCTACAAATCTCGTGGCAGGCCCGGCCTTTAGTCTTAAAACATGAAAATTAAATTGAAAATCAACATCACGATACAAACGGCTGGTACAGAAATTAGGAAGGCTATTGCGTTTCTAACCAGAGAAAAGGAGAACCCAGCTAATCGACGAGTTTCCTCCGGTCCGGTGCCTTAGCAGACACCTGTTTTGCTGATTGTTTTTCGTTTACGGTGTAAACAAACAATTTGTTAGTACTGTTAGGTGCTGCCAACTGCTGAACGACGCGATTCATTCGGTTGAGTGAACGACGCGCTAACCGTCGACACGGGCACAACGACCGTACGGCGTTGCCTGGACGATAATGCTCTGCTAATTACCACACCGGCAGGCACCGGGTGGTCGCTGGGCGGGGCGGGCGGGCTGGGGCGGAGCACGCAGCAGCGGTTGGTACCTCCTTCTCCCCCGTTAGAACCAGTTCAGAGGAGGACCCGCCAACCCAACGAAGCGCCACGCGGGGGGAACTCCCCGCGAGGTGACGGAACGGAGGGTCGCCTAAAACGGTTTTGGGCGGTACGCATTCGTTACTCGTCAATCGATAGGAATGTTTTTGGACCTTTGCGTACGTCTTAGAGGGGTCGTGCCCCCCCCCCCAAAAAAAATTAGGGGTGGCGGGGTTATACACTTTTTCTCAACGCGCGTCATCATTTTTTCGGGAGCACTTTTTCCATAGCCCCACAACAAAATTAACATCAATAAAACAAAATTTTATTTCAATGTTAGGTGGTGCTAGCAGGAGCATTCTCAACATAAAAGAGGAGA